TGGAGGGGGCGGGACAGGGCTGGGGGCTGGTCCCTCAATGCAAGCCTGATTTTGAATGCCACTGCCAACGCAGAAAAATTGCACAATTTATTACAATCCCCTCTTCAGGGAAGAGAAGGGGGAGGGGAGGATATTTGCACACGCACGGAAAGACAAACAGAGAAAAACCTCATGTATAGAAATTGAAAACATGTGCACCCGCATGCATGGAGCCTTTTATTAAAATTTCGCTGGTGTTGCACGTCCAGGTACTGCGCACGCAGACACACAGGGAAACAGAGAGGGCAGCCTAAGAGTTTGGTTCTGTTTTTGTCTCTTGCTGAAAGACGTATTTTATTATTCTCCACGACAATAATCGACAGAACACACCGCGTCCACGCTACTGTAACCATACCGGGTGTGTCAAATCATACACAAAGCCTCCTACAAACTGCTTCTCGGGGCCCCTCCGCAGATTTGCGCTCCTCCGTTCCGCCTGTGAAGGGCTGATGATCTGCTATAATCAAAGTAGAAAATTCAGCCTCGGATGCACAATAGTCCCTCAAATGAGACGCGTCTGTAACGTTAACAACAAAACTAGACTGTGTTGGAGCTGAAACGCAAGCGAGCAATTGATTTACATGCAGAGCTCTGAGATAAACTCCAGCATGAGGAGCGTCTGGATGCTGGAACAGTTCGCGGCGGGTTGAGCTGTGTTTCAGCACCACAGTTTGGTCCAGAGCTGCACAACAGAGAAGATAAAGACACAAATGGTGAAGATTTTGTTTGCTGCACTCCACAGGTCATGTCATTTTAACGCCCCTTAACTGCCTTTCCCCCATGAAAAGTGGATGTTTATATTGTAAAAAAGAATGTTATCACCTGTTCTTTTAAGCACAAACTCGAAAACAGTTCTACAAAGAGCAACACTCGTGAAAGCACATCCGATAGTATTTTTGTGTTGGTGTCCCCTGCTGAAGTGAAACTACCATTTTCCATCACAGCCAACTCATTGTGCGTCAGTTGATTGAAGGGAAAGTCCGCACACTCTTTTCATTTTGAAAACGTTCACCTGGGATACGAATGTTAAGGATCCGATTGGTATTTGGGCCGATAAGTGATCCAAGTTATAATTTATTTGTAAAACGATCCCGAAATGCACCCACACCTTTATTATAGCCGGTCCTCAAAACAATGACAAAACTAGGAAATACTAAAGTCATAAAAGTTGTATAACCTGTTGATTTTCATTCATCAGTATCAAAATATGAGCAAGAATAATGAATGTTGGTTTACAGCGCTCTGGGTTTTATTGTTGTCAACATCTTGTTCTGTGTTAAAAACGTTTCTCTGTGTTGTGCCGCACTCTTACTGACACCCATGATAGATAGAAAGAAAAAAACTCTGTTTGTTTAGTGCTTCAAGTGGCACGCGTCAGGCGCGCGCAACGCACCGGCACCGGGACAGGAGCAAGGTGAATCCACGCGACCGGAGGGCGTGGCCAGTCCCTCATCCAAACGCATTGAAAAGCAGTGGCGTCTTTTCTCAAGGGCTCAGTGCAGCTTTGAGGAGCGCGCGAGGCAGCAGCCCAGCGGACGCCCCCTCTGAAACAAGTGCGCGTCAAGCGGCCACACCACGTGAACGGCACGAGCGGGACACACCGCCTCGAGACCTGGTGATTTCTTTATCAGTTTGTGTTTTTAATGGGAATGGACCTCACAGCCAAGATGGAAATTAACGTCAGCCAGCAGCAACTCATGCCTCCCGCTTGCTTCTTTTCCGCCGCGGCGTCCCAGAGCATCCAGCTGAGCCCAAGCGGCAGCAGCCAGAGCAGCGGGAAGTCGGTGTCCAAGCAGCTCAAGAGGCAGCGCTCCGCCTCTCCGGAGCTGCTGAGGTGCAAGCGGAGGTTAAATTTCGCGGGTTTCGGCTACACTCTTCCTCAGCAACAGCCGCATGCAGTGGCCCGGAGGAACGAGAGGGAGCGCAACCGGGTGAAACTGGTCAACAACGGCTTCGCCACGCTTCGGGAGCACGTCCCCAACGGCGCTGCCAACAAGAAGATGAGCAAAGTGGAGACGCTGCGCTCAGCCGTGGAGTACATCCGTGCCTTGCAGCAGCTGCTGGACGAACACGACGCGGTGAGCGCGGCTTTTCAGTCCGGCGTCCTGTCACCCACCATGTCGCAGGGATACTCCGCTGATATGAACTCCATGGCAGGTTCACCGGTGTCCTCCTACTCATCCGACGAGGGTTCCTACGACCCCCTCAGCCCAGAAGAGCAAGAGCTGCTAGACTTTACCAACTGGTTCTGAGCATCTATATAAGGTAAAAATAGAGCGAATCAAATCCAGTTATCATCAGACACTGTGACAGACAAACATTTGTGAATAAATACCCTGAACAGTCAGTTAACATTTCTGTTCGTCTTCTCCCCACAGAACCACGGATCAACTCAATTTACTGTTGTGCGCTTGGGATGGTCCCGGATGAGGCTGGGTGTCCTCAAGATCAAGATGCACTGTACATGCGTTCTGGTCCTCCCAGACTGTCAGACAGACAAACAGACAGACAGACAGACAGACAGACAGACATGGCCTTAACGTCCTGAGAACACGGGGGAAATCAGGCCAGAGATCAGCGCCAAAAGACTCAAGGAAAACGTGTCTCCTGACAGCGTGGGAATCCGAGCTTCTGTGCATTTGCCCATGATAAAGCCTAACCCTAAAGTGAATTCATGCTCTTCAGCAGCGCATTAAAAACATTATTTAATACGTCGCTCTTCAACTATGCTAAATCCAATCACAGAACACCAACGCTTTGGTAAACCTCTCAGACGTTTTAATTCAGAAAATGCTTCCAAGATTCCGGATTTATTCTATGAAATTCTATATCAAACGCTTTTTTGGAAATATATTAAGATATTTTTGTATGTAAGAGATTTATAGATGTTTTGTACACATCCTTTTGTATATATTTTGTCTAAATATAACGAAGTTGCTTCTATACCTCCTGCCTATGTAGACGTATTATTCTTTGGCTCTTCTGTTCATAAGGTTTCCAGAAGGAGTTTGATACTCCCACTTTTTATTTTAGCACCAATGTGTCTTATTTAATAGCAAAACTATGTTATTGCATTGTCATCAAGTTCACTATGACCAAAACTTATGCAGCTATTGTCCAAACAGAACGTATCGTCTCTTTATACTGCCAGCTCTATACTGTCTTCACATAAACAGATGTTGAAAAGAAATCTTATATCCATATTTTCTACTCTCTAGTCAAGAATAAAATAATTTGCTACTGATTTATTTTCCATGTCTTAATTTTGGGTTTATTTTAACATAAATGCAGAGATGTAGTGGTGGCTTTCAACATGTGGGTGGTAGCTACTTGGAGGGGGAAATGAACACGCCACATAACAGGGACAAAAAGAAAAAAGAAGCACTACTTTCTGCGCACATTTTACGCACGTATATGTTCTTACTCTTTTGAAATGTAACACACGGTGCCTCTGAAGCCCATAGCCACCCGTCCCCGACCTAAGCTCTCAGTGTCCCACTCTGTTGTGTCTCTTGTAATGCTGGACAGCTTACAAAAGGGGTCAATTTCGCGCAAGCGCAAAAAGCACATGCGGTGGCACAAGTGCGTAAAATGGAAGTGCTCCCTGTGTATTTCAGAGCATCCAATGTTATCAGTTTTCAACCTTGTACGAAACAAGCAGCTGTATCACAGAAGTACTGATGAAGCATTTCTTTCTCTGAAGAAAAGCAGGTTTAATGAACAAATGCTAGCACAGCTAGCACAGCTAACAACAGTTCAGAAGACAAAGTCTGTCAAGTTAAAACGCCTCACACTGCACGACTCCAAGAGGAACTGAAGACCGTGCGTGTAAACAAAGTTGGAGGAGGCAGAACAGTGTGTTTATTTTGATGGTGTCCTTTAAATTAGCGGATGGAGGGAATGTCACTGGACTGATTAACCTTTACGATCACCAACAGATTTCGAGGCAGGGCTTATGTTTCTGCCAAACTAAGTTTGACAGGTACGACAGGGGCTGCAGCCGGACGCGTGTCTGGTTTAATGAGTGAATGGAGTTTGTGTGGTGGTCGAGCTGAGACACGGAGCTGAATTGGCTGGTGGCGTGTGCCTCCTGACAGAAGCATGCCGCGGAACAGTCACCACCTAGGAAGGGAAAAACGGGGTGGCACCAGTTAAGATAGTGTGGCTGCTTTTGTTTCTTTTTTTGTTTTACAACCTATACATTATGCTAAATTTAAAAACCCACATATTTGACTCTAACTTTAAGAAGAAATTAAATTGAATCACAAAGACATAAACGGCAAAATCTCGTGTTGTGTTTAAGGTTCATTGCACAATATGTGCAGGCGCTGTTCTTGGATGGTTCATGGACCATCAGGGGGTGAGTGGGGGTGGGGGTCCACTGAAGAATGAACAGTGCTGCAACTCCAGTGTGACTCGCAGGAAAACAGTAAAAACTAAAAATTAGTAGAAAACATCTGCAAATTTGTACCAATTGACTTCTGAGACTTTCATCACTACTGTCTCCTCAGTTTGTGTATATTACAGCAGCACAGTAATTATATATGAGGCAAAATGATCTGGTTGAGTGAGAGATGTAAAGAGATTGAGAAAAGGTCACCTGATTTCACCTGACAGCAGTTAAATATGACTGGTTTCAATCTGAACCAGTGAACTTGTTACCACTCCCAAATTAAGTAACAGGTCTTTTCATACACAGACTAATTCTAGAAACATTAAAAAGGACAAAGTAAGTGGGACTTGTTAAGGACAGAGGCACTGTGGCTTTTTTCAAGCTACCAGTTTAACAATAAATCAGGAGCCAGTGAAGGTAACAGGGAACCTGCAGCTGATATTTATGAATGTCTGTGTTTTCTGAACCATACACTATTAGCTGGGCTTTTAACACAGCACTCAGCAAAACTATGAGATTCACGGCAACATCTTTGGTTTATCCAGTAAAATCACAAACAAATAATCTGAAATAACAAAAAGACATTAATAAAGACAATGTTAAACACAGTGAAAAACATACAACACACCTGCAACTGCCACCCAAGTGCACACCCACTCACGTGACCCATGGGATACAGTTAAATATGTACTGTATATAAACACTGGTGAATTCCCCCTTGAGGACAAATAAAGTAATCTAGTTGAATATTCTGAGATTCAAATGTAGCTGAGAGTTAGGGCAGGGGGTGTGTTTTCATACCAGTCATGTCTACTTCTCAAAGTCTCACAACATTTCCATTTGTTGTTATTATTACATTGGAAGAAGAGCACATTACGAAGCCCAAATGAACTCTTCACCACTTTATTTCTACCTGCAAACTGACACTTAGAGCTAAATCTTCACAATGATGCAACCACCCAACAGTATGCAACTGGGAATACATACTAAATGCATACATCACTGAAGTATTTAGGTAATGTTCAAGCCCTTCCCAGAGATGCTTCAGTCAATTAAAATCTGTAATAAAACCATTATAAGTCATCATAAACTCCATAGCATAGTAGCAGTAGATTGTAACACATACAAATTGTCTAATTATGTTTTTGGTTCACTTTAATTACATGAGTGTGACATTCCTAAAAGCCACAGTCAAATAAGGAAGAGTGCTGTTGACCAAATGCAGAAGTAGGCGAGGATACCAACACTGATAACAATCTTTATTTAACATCAAAGCATGTTTTCATCAACAACAAAATTCAAAATGCAGTCACTTTAAAAGGTTTACCATCAGTTTTCTCTCGTACATCTGGGCTCTATGTGAGGACATATGCTGCGTACAGGACGACGCTGATCCAACAGTCCTGGTTTGCTGCCTGTCAGAGCCCATTATGTTTTACTCTGTCACAGTCTGTCAAGCGTGTATGAACTGCAGGAGTGCAGGGCCATATCTAATTGGCAAACTGAGCCAAAACAATGGCTCAAACTATATTAGTTGAATATCTTATTGAATATCATTCATCAGTGCTGATTAAGCCGGACAGAAGAGGATGGCAGTTTTTGATTCTACCTGCTCAGATGCTGTTTTTTGCTGCACAATAAGCAGCTGTTGCATCAGAAATTGTACATGAACCACACCCCCGGAGTGTCAGGGCAGTTTGGTCACAGGTGTTTTTTAAAACTAATTCAGCCAGTATGATTGTTCTGCAGTGCCTCTAGAGTGAAAAATGAAAACACTGACAGCTGCAGAACATTTCAGGACCATAGACAGCTTCACATCTCTGAAAAGATCCATGTATCCAACAGAAACAACAGAAGTCCACTACTGTTTTCTTTCCTTGTAGGGTTTTCTTTACATATATGGGGGGAGGTGTGTTGGACTGAATAATCTATTAAAGTTCCTGCGAAGTCCTTATTAACATTCATATGGCATCATGAAACTAATCATTAGGTATCATTCAGTTGTCAGTCACCTCTGTGTATTAAATGTAAAAGTCCAGTACAACTATCACTCTACTTTAGTCGGCTGGTTTCACTACAGCACTAAATTCATCACTTGTAATTTACAGTTGTCTCTGCTCTTTCAGTAACTTTTGGCACATGTTTTTATTGTTAGTGTGTAAAACTATGGTTCTGATGAAGCACCTCTGTTGTTTGGAAGAACTCAGTGATTTACATTGTGTGTTTGAAAAACAGAAGACCCTCCACTGGCGGCAGCACAGCAGCGCAATGGTTAGCTGTTGCCTCACAGCAAGAAGGTTCTGGGTTCAAGCCGCGGCTGACCCGGGGCCTTGCATGTTCTCCCTGTGCCTGCGTGGGTTCTCCCTGGGTACTCCAGCTTACGTTGACTGGTGACTCTGAATTGCCTGTAGGAGTGAGTGAGTGTATGTGGTTGTTTGTCTACATGTCAGCCCTGTGATAGACTGGTGACCTGTCCAGGGTGGACCCCGCCTTTCGCCCAATGTCGAACCTATTCAGGAATCTGTGGTATAGATAATGGATGGATGGCTGGATAGATGACCAATGGTTTTTGAATGTGTGCTGGTTGCTTCACAGGATGACACTGGTTTCTGGTGCAGATGTACTGACATAAGAGAAAACAGTTTCTTACACCATTCATTTCACCCTTAGTTATGACCTCCCCACAATCAACTAATAAAGACCTGGACACAACAGAAAGTGAAATTAATTTGAGTGTCTTTGCAAATACTTTGTTATGAAGCTTGGTCACACAGGGAGTATACAAAACAGAGCCGGTGGCTGAGCTGCTAGTGAGCTAATTGCTATTATACGAGGTTTGTGCTAGTCAGTCACAAAGGTCCTGGAGCATCTCTGTATTTTCTCTCTACTATTTATCTTATTTTCCTGTTCACCACTGCACACCATTTAATTACGTAAAAGGCTTATGAAGAGGGAAAATAAAGCTTTCCAAGCCAACAAGCTGGTTAACGGTCACTTAGCAAACTTGTTAGCTTGTTAGCTTTATGGAACAAGTATTTACATTTTGCTCAAAAGACATATTGGTACCACTGATTCCTGTTTAATAACTGTCTGGAAGCCACTGCTCTTTTATGGAGTAGCTTACACTAAGTAAAAGTTGAAGCTAAGATAATAGCTTGCTATCAGTCAGCAGCACAAATTGGCAGTTTACCAAACAAACAGTGTACAGCTTTCATACATTTTAAAATTTTAAATTGAGTCTATTAGTGTTATATGGGCTTTTACTTCTCAGTTTCTCATGTATCTTTTTTGCACAAGGTTTCAACACTGGTAATGGTGGTGACAGTAATGCTGATACCTGTGCCTCGCCAGGCAGACAGTGTGGTGACTCAGGTTAGAGGTTGCTGGGATCATTGAGAGGGTTGGAGATGACTGACTTGTGAATGAGCATGAAGAGAGGCAGGTAGGCAAGGAAGTCCAGCAGGTCCAGAGGGGGAATGTGCTGCAGCTCCAGTCTGATGGCTGCCTCCTGCTCCAGATAGATGCCCCCAACCTTTAGTTCCAGAAGCAGCTGCTCAGCACTTATGAAGCCCTGCTGAGCTCTCGTGTCTCCTGGCTGCTCCTCCAGCAGGAACAGGAACAGTTGCTAGATGTTTACATTAGACATAAATAAAGTTAAAAACAAGAAAACCGGCTCTGGACTTGTTCTCAGCACAGTTGTGAGTGTGTGGGTGTATGTTCATGTGTGAGTAGGACTCTGTTTTGTGTGTTTGCTCTTTAGGGTCGCCTCAGATTACCTCAGCGTGTTTCTAGTCTTGTTTGAGTGCACCTGTTTTCACAGTTAATGCAGTCTAGGTAATAATTGTTGGGAGACAGGGGGAATAATCCTTCTGGCAATTAGCCCATCCCCCCCACCAACCTCTCCAGTTAACAACCCTATCCCTAACAGCTCTATAATTACAAAGCCTTCCCTACCTGGTCAGGGGCTCAGTTTCCAAACCCATGGCCACCAGGCTTTCATGCTCCTCCTGCCTTTCAGTAGCTCAGTACTTCCTTGTATGAATGAGGGCTGGGCCAGCCTGTGAGCAGCCAGCTGGTAGGCTAGTCCCAGTCCATCTTAGATGAGCTGTGTGTCTCAGCCTGATTACAGGGCTGGGCGGAGTGGACGGAGTGTTCACTGCTGGGCACTTTAATGAGATTAGGGCTGTGCTAATCTATGAAAAGGGAAAAGCAGCCCTCTCTTTCTCTCTCTGGCTTGCTTCCCTCATTTCTATGCATGAGGGTTGATTGCCTCTCATAAAAAAGCTAGCTTTACAAAGCATGTCTTGGAATTGCTCTTCAAAGTGTTTACGAGTATTTATTTCATTATAATTATGCCTGTGGAGCCATGAAAGAGTGGCAGAGGTCGTGTTTGTGGCATGAATGTGACTAATGTGAGAGTTAATCTGATGTTGCATGGAGGTAATCAAGTGCACCTTTTGAAAAACAAATTCAGTTCATGTGGTGGCGAGGTGTTCATGCACATAATAGCCTGCAGACATGTAGGATGCATGGGAAAGCTAGAAAAAACCTTGACATTACCTTCACTTTAAAGAGCCTCACTTCAAGAGAGCGAAAGTCCATGCTGCTGATCAGCGATCGCATAAACTCACTGTAAGAAAACAGCAAAGTAAAACCTTAAATGTTAAAACCCCACACACAGACAAACAACCACACACAGGCACATGCACTCCAATGGGCAATTTAGAGACACCAATCAAACTAAGCTGCATGCCTTTGGACTGTGGGAGGAAGCCGGAGTACCCGGAGAGAACCCACACAAGCACGGGGAGAGAGAACATGCAAACTCCACACAAAAGGGTCCCGGGTGGGGCCTGAACCCTGAACCCGGAACCTTCTTGCTGTGAGGTAACAGTGCTAACCACTGCGCCACCGTGCTGCCCCCTCTGAAATTTGAGCATAGTTTTTAAATAAGTATTCCACAGTTTTACAATAGCATTTTTATAAAGTTGGGGGACATGCAAGAGAAATAGTAAATTAAGAAAGATTATTTAGTTTTTTTAGTCCCTAGTGTGATGGATCCTACACTTCCCAGAATGCAACTCAGACGCATCTCTTATTACATCCTGCCTGCCTTATCATTCAAATTCCACACCCTCATTCTGTAATGCAGATTTTCTGCTATAAACTTGACCTCTTCCTATTTTTCAGCCTTTGAAAAGCTGCCTCCAGAGCCACAGCAGACATTACACAACTACAGTAGATTAGCAGTACATAACATACATAAAATAATACTAAGCAATTTGACTCTGTGGTTAATAAAATTCTTTGAATGTCAAATCTTGAAATGAACTTGAAGTGTAAAATAAGGGCAGTGTACATTTGTTCAAACGTGGTGAATCAAAAAATATATATATTTTGTGTTTTTATCAGTGTAAAATCTGTCCGGAGTGTTTACAGATACTTTGGTTTCCACTGCAGGCACAGTTAGAACAGTCTGGTGGTCAGGGTGGGTGATTTTTTTGGCGGATCTGTCCGGTGCGATGCTGTGTTTGCAGAGATGTGATGGTAAAGTGTTCTGAGGCCATTGTGGTTGCTCACAGTAGCCTAGCTGCCAAACAATGCACGGGCACACGGGGACATCCCACCACAGTAACGGATAAAAATGCTCTGGTCTGGGACAGTGGGTGTGGAAGTAGCTGAAGCAGGGTGAGCAGGGTTTGTGTGGGGGGTAATAAGTATCTGGGGCACACTCTGCTGCAATCTGAGACCACTTGCAAACCAACAAAATCTAGGTCCACTCGGATAATTAGAGGGAGACACAACTGATTGTGTCGGGACAGAGTTCTCCCGTCCAGCGTGTGGCACAGCGACAGTGGTCCCTTCTCTAATGAGCACACACTGTTAATGAGCCCCTCCTCGCTGAGGAGGCGTGCTAAAGCAGAGAATGGCCAAGCACTAGGCCATCGAGTACAATGCATGCTTGAGTGCTCCCAGTACCAGGATTGGCCCCAACCAGGGTGCTGGGGGATGGGGATGAAGCAAAAACAGGGAACCTAATGATCATTAATTGCACTTGGTTTGCAGTAAAAGAGTCCAAATGCTGGTGTGCTAAGGACAGTGGTGTGATAATGGTTTGCAAAAACGAGAGGCTAGGGGACCAGTGATGGACCCCAGCAAGGATAATAGCAGACTAACCTATTTCTTTTCTCAGCCCTGCTCTGGCACCCTGCTGTGGCCAACACAGCAGACTTCTCGCCAAAAATGTTGGCGGTCTCCTCATTGGTGAGCTGGTATACAGTGAGGTGGGGGGTGAAAAACATACTCTGACCTAGTTTGTTTTGACAGAACTGAGAGTTGTTTTGGGGTATTTTTGAGAAGGCTGCAGTGAAGCTGGGTAAGGGGAACCTCTCGGGAAGAGGACGCCCTCATACCGTCAGGAAGTTCATACAGCAGAAGGTAAATCTAGATTCTGCTGTCTCATGTCTCCTTCCTTTGCTGATTCATTCAGTCCAGTACGTTTCTAGGAACAAGGAGACTCAGTGCACATATGTATGCTCACAAATCCAACACAAAAAACAAGAGGCGATGATAATAATGAATATGACAGCTCCAATGATGCTGTTTGGGAATTCTCTATAGCCACACACTGCTGGACAGATCGTATGACTTCCCCTGAGGGAATGTGGCGCTGTGTGAGGTGGACTTGTTGAGGAGCATAATGCTGCACAGGGACAGATGGGCTGAATCAGGGGCCAAAACAGCACAGGACAGAGGGTGAGGGGGAGAGGCGGCTGGAGAGATGAGAGACATAAGAGGGATGGACAGTGAAAGTTGAAAAGAAAGGGTGCGATTAATGCAAGGTAAAACTGGAGGAAATATTAATAAACATCTGGGATACACCTCCTCTGATTTCAAAACCTTCCATGATCAGAAAGGCTGATTGTGTAACTACAGTTGCAGCTCATGTCTAAGATGGCATTAACTGATGCAGGTAAGAGGATCAGTTTAATTCAGATGGGATGAGATGACAGAAGGATGCTATTGTTTTCTCCTTGTGCTGGACCTGGCATCATGCACGCTGATCTTCTCTCATTATTTAAACTGAAAAAAATGAGTTTTTTGGAAAGAGGTTTAATATGGACATTCATTATCATTACTATAATTGCTTCTCTACAGCGCAGACACCCTGGTGAAGCAGTCGGTCTACAGGCCTCCTCTAATACACAAAACAAAGGGCTGGCCATAAATCTAAGGACCCATGACCCTGGCCCTGTCCTCGCTGGCAGGGAGCTCTCACTCTGGGGCAAGGGCTTTGGGAGCAGGCCTTGACCCTGGGAGACCTCCGGAGCAGACTTGGCTCCACACACTCCTGCCTGTAGGAAGCTATAAACCCTGAGGCAGGAAAAAGGCACTGTGTGTGGGAATATGCAGCATATGGGGCTTTTTGTAGAGACACAGGGATGCTGAGGCCAATCAGAGTGATGGTTTGCTGGATTCAGTCCAGGACTGCAGCTAACCACTATTTTCATCATTGATTCATCATAATTTCCCATAGAATAAGTTAACATTCTCAAATGTTGTCATTGTCTGGAGCCAAAACATTTTACAGCAGGCATTTTCATTAAAATGTACTGGAAAAAAAGTTTTGATTATCAAAATAGTTTGGTTATTGATTATTATTTATTTATTATTTTATTGTTGAATGGGCAACTGCTTTGACAAAAGCAATTTAGATACATAAATCATTTGTATAATGGACATATATGTATATATACTGTATATATATGTATGACCTCTGTATACTGTTCACGCAAGCTGCATTTTGTAATTATTCCCATTACAGATCAATTGTTTTGTCTACAAAATGCCAGAAATCTGAAAAAATGCCCACCACAAGTCTCCTCACTGCAAAAAACTCCTTCTTACCAAATGGTTAAATGACTAATTTCAATCATCATTCATTTTCTGTTGGTCAACCAAACAGTGAATTAATAATGTATAGGTCATGATTGGATCCAAAGTCATTACTTTGACCTCTAGAGTCGTATATAATTGTTTCAAAACACAAGGCAAAGAGGATCAAAGAGAGACCCACACACGATGGCAAAATCAGGGGACACTCGTATTCCTATTTATGGGAGGTCAGTGACTCCTCTCTCAGCTTCACTGAGGAGTGAGGAGTGTGTCTGCTGATGGTCACTTACTCCATGGTGGCTATTTTTTGTGCCAGACTAGCGATGACAGCAAAGAGCCTCAGGTCGACAAGCCCATCTGTCACTCTGAAGTCCACCATCTCCAAGATCTAAGGGAGATTTGACAAACGATGTGTTAGGGCTGCATGGATGTGAATACAGCTGTGCATATGTACAGACGCAGTGAGAGCTGACCCTGTAGACGTAGATCTCCTCTTCATCAGACAGCAGTTCTGGGGGGATGATGTTTTTAAGAGCAAGCAGAACCTGAAGGCAGGAAATGTAGCCGTCACCATCACTGTCCTCCTGCGATAAAGACCACCAACAGTGTCATCATCATCATCTAGATCACTGCTTCCCTGTCACTACTGTGACCCTTTGAAACAAGCCACTTATGAACCCTTGCTTCATTTGGAAGATCTGCCGAGGTTTTTAGACGTAAAAGTGTCTAAAAAATTTGAACAAGCTTCAGAAAAGTGAATATACTGTAAGAATGAAAGTTTCTTGACGATCAGAAATATAATAAAAATGTATCATATTTTAATAATAAATTAGTAATTTAAGACATTTTTAAGCAAAAATGCTTCAAATTCTCTGGTCTTTTAAATGTAAATACTGTTTGTCTGTGATGATACACTGAATAACTTTGGCTCACTGGTTGAACAAAAAAGTGATTTATATCTCACATTTCCCATATTTGTAGAGCAAATGATGAATTCATTCTCAGAGTGTTTGAGAATCATGTATTTTTGAAATGGACTGCAACATATTACAGTCAGGCAAAGTGAATCCCCACACCCCCAAAAAGGAATTAAAGGGTTTAAATCTCTTTTCACTTACTGCTTCAAAAGCTCTTTTGTACTCCGCCAGCTTCTCCTGACTGAAAATGCAATACTTTGCCAAAAAGTCGACTGGAAGGAGGAGAGAAGAAGACAAAGATAAATCTGCAGAGCTTGGAAAATGCATGTTAACTGTACTTTCTAACTGCACACAAACAACATTTCAGCAGAAAAAATGGTCAGTTGTTCTATGTAATCGCAAATAAAACTGAGATTTCCAGTTTAGGCTGCTCTGTGTGTGTGTGTGCAGAGTAGATTAGGGCAATATTTCTTTCCTGTGGCCACACTGGGGTCAGGGCGGGTGAGTGGTTCACACTGTGTCCTGTTGGCCATGATCTGTGGCGGGGCGGGGGGGGGGTGGGGTGGGGGTAGAGGTGTGGGGGCAGAGTGGCACTTGGCTCTTTTTCTTTTTATAGAGAAAGTGAGACGAAGAGATGCTGGGGAAGTCGCAGCAGTCAAGAACCTAAAACTAACCAAATTATTCTGCTTTATCATGACGGAGGTACAGTATCTACTGTGAGTGAATATCTTGCAGCAGATGATTACAACATGAAGAAGCAGTAATAGTGACTGAGTAAGAAACTAGAAAAATATTTGGGCCAACAAAGCAACAGAAGAGACAAATTCTGACCTCTAAGCAGAGTCGAAACAAATGATCGATTAGTTGATCATCAGAAAATTAATCGGAAACACTTTTTTCTAGCAAAAGTAAAAAATTGTTTTGTTGTTCCAGGTTCTCAGATGTATTTTATTTGTTTTATGTAAAAGAAAACTGACTTTGTGTTTTGCACTGTTACTTGGACAAAGCAAGACACATGAAGATGTCACCTCGAGCTCTGAGAAATAGTGGTTTCATCGAACAATCAGAAAAAAAATTGGCATATTACCTGAATATAAATCTAATGATTAGTTGTAGTCCTACGTGTACATCTAATAACACCTCAGCTCAGCTTTTTGCCTTTTCAGTTGTGTGATTTAACTGATTATTACACTGATTATTATGCATGAGCCACAGAAATAAGCAGCTGTTTTCTTAAAAAAATGCAGTAAATAAAATTCGTTTTTTAATCACTTTGTGGCATTTTATAACTTTTTTGATCATAATCCTTTTGCTCTTATCAGACAAAAACAGTTAAATATTTACTAGGCTTAAATATAATGATCAATGCATATCCTCAAATAAAAAAACAATGATTATATGATGGGCACAAACTGATGCAAAGGACACCCATGAATACTTCAGCGGGTACATTTAAGAGGGAGAGAGACTTGGAAAAAAGGGGTGGGGGAAAATGGGGCCTTTTAAGCTGCTGCCACTTCAATTTAGGAGATGAGAATGAGTCTACTGAATAATGGATCTATTCATTGGTTTGCAGAAGAAAGAGGAGCAGCAGAGTTGATATCAGTCTGGACTTAAACCCCTGGACCTCTGGGGTTTCTCTGCAATAGCAGGGGGGCCGTTTGAATCTGCCATTTATCAGCTTAGGCCTAATCAAAACCAGGCCTGCCATAGCCTCGTCTTTTCACATGCAAAATGTTACATTCGCATCTAGTCAACTTGACTTGTTAAAGCTTGATTGATCAAAAAACCTGCAGGCTGGCTCTACGCATCTGTTTGCAAATATCTGTGATGAGAAGAGGCTGCAGGATGAGGATCTGGAGTCACACACGCAGCCGCTGCTGAGCCTACATGAGATCGAGCAGGGATTTAAAGTCCTCTCTCTTCAAAAGACACACAGAGTCACACAGTGGCTGGATCAGTGCACTGGTCAATCTGCTAAAATGAAATGGCAGCTTGTGTGACAGAATGAATAGATCCACCTTCTCTTTTTTTTTTTTTTTTTTTCCAAGACTTGGTTTATACAAGTCTCACAAACTCTCTCTTGCGAGACTTTTTTTTCTAACAAAATTAAGTAGTACATGATAATTTAACGATTTTCTTGAATGGGCATTAAAATCCAGACACTTGTGCGTTTACGTGATCTTGCCTGACATCCATGGTGCCATTGTTAAAGCGGAATTTTTCAACTGCGCCCAGTTTTGTGGATATATTTTCCCTCCTGCTGTCCAGGAATGTTCCTGTACAGGGACTCTCTGTTTTACCTGATGGGTCTAACCTACAAGCAGTCGGCCTGTGAAGCCCCCGCGGCAGTGAATGATCAGCTCATCAACACTGGATTCCCCCGGAGCACAATCTGTTTGTCTTGACTGCTTGCAGCCAGTGTGTCTGATGTATGTGATGTGTTGCTGGTTAACGATCCATGATGTTATTGTCGGCGCTACACTACCTGTTGAATTTAGTTTCACTACTTTGGGACTGTATGTGGTCATGTAGGGGAAGACGCAGCGACCACCGGTTGGATTTACCGATCTTGGAGCTACTTGGAAGGGATCGATGTTTCCACTACTCATTGGGACTTAACGGTAAGTTTAAAAAACACACGTTACAAAAACAAGGCAACAATGGACATTAGAGAGAATTGTTGTAAGGCTGGAGAAGTTACCATGTCTATATTATGGCAGTTAAAATATGGGGTTTCACAACTACCCGCTTTGTTTAGAGTGTCACCCATCTCTTTTCATCAGTACATTATGTTGTTTACCTATGTATGGAGGAGACATTCTAATTAATTAATGCTGCTGTAGTTTGTTGTGCTGTCCACTTTTGATGCAACACTGGCAGCAGGAGCTGTGAGCATTCATGAACTATGTGAAGAGGCTCTCTGGTTTTATAGTTCTGACCAAACCATTTGGAGTTATGAGGGGTGCCAAGCTAATCTAGAGGTACCCAGGATTAAACATTAAAAGGCTGGAAATGAGCAGATTGAGCAGGACATGGGGACTTTAAACTATTACCCGTGATACACTGTGATGTAAAGTCATCAATATCAAACTGTTCTGCAACAATGCAGACTAAATGCTGTTCTTTGAAGAAAGTACAGTTGAAGTGGGTTCAACCTCAACATCAGCCCTGACCGCAGCCTTGCTTGCTCTCGTCTGCACTGCTGCTCTCTCTGCTGCTGTGTCTCATACACACACACAGGAGCTGCCGTGAAGTGGTGCTGGAGAAGGTCGGGGGCTGCTGAGGGGAGCACTCCGTCAGGGAATCGGCCGGACAAAAGGTGCAGTGGAGTGAGAGATTGAGGGAGGAAGCAAGCAGCAAGGACTGGTGCAGGAGAGGGACAAAGGAAAGGCAGTAAAGCCTCCTGCCTGATAGCCTTATCTGATTCCACTCCAGCGCTTGATGGCTTTTTTTTTTTTTATGTCACCTCGAGCTCTGAGAAAGTGGTTTCATCGAACAATCAGAAAAAAAATTGGCATATTACCTGAATATAAATCTAATGATTAGTTGTAGTCCTACGTGTACATCTAATAACACCTCAGCTCAGCTTTTTGCCTTTTCAGTTGTGTGATTTAACTGATTATTACACTGATTATTATGCATGAGCCACAGAAATAAGCAGCTGTTTTCTTAAAAAAATGCAGTAAATAAAACTCGTTTTTTAATCACTTTGTGGAATTTTATAACTTTTTTGATCATAATCCTTTTGCTCTTATCAGACAAAAACAGTTAAATATTTACTAGGCTTAAATATAATGATCAATGCATATCCTCAAATAAAAAAACAATGATTATATGATGGGCACAAACTGATGCAAAGGACACCCATGAATACTTCAGCGGGTACATTTAAGAGGGAGAGAGACTTGGAAAAAAGGGGTGGGGGAAAATGGGGCCTTTTAAGCTGCTGCCACTTCAATTTAGGAGATGAGAATGAGTCTACTGAATAATGGATCTATTCATTGGTTTGCAGAAGAAAGAGGAGCAGCAGAGTTGATATCAGTCTGGACTTAAACCCCTGGACCTCTGGGGTTTCTCTGCAATAGCAGGGGGGCCGTTTGAATCTGCCATTTATCAGCTTAGGCCTAATCAAAACCAGGCCTGCCATAGCCTCGTCTTTTCACATGCAAAATGTTACATTCGCATCTAGTCAACTTGACTTGTTAAAGCTTGATTGATCAAAAAACCTGCAGGCTGGCTCTACGCATCTGTTTGCAAATATCTGTGATGAGAAGAGGCTGCAGGATGAGGATCTGGAGTCACACACGCAGCCGCTGCTGAGCCTACATGAGATCGAGCAGGGATTTAAAGTCCTCTCTCTTCAAAAGACACACAGAGTCACACAGTGGCTGGATCAGTGCACTGGTCAATCTGCTAAAATGAAATGGCAGCTTGTGTGACAGAATGAATAGATCCACCTTCTCTTTTTTTTTTTTTTTTTTCAAAAGGGCAGTCTGAGGGGGGACTCACAGACCATCTGGAGATGCGTTGGCAGTGATCTGTGCTGACCTCACTCAGTCTAACAACACAGACTTTTAAAGCAACCTAATGTTGATTTTTTATGTTTCGTACTGACAGATCCATAGTGTTTTGAAGTTTCCCACTGTGTTCCAGTAATATCCAATCTTAATGCCGGTGTTATATTTTTTGTTTTCTGACTTGTCTACAATTTTATAACAGTGAATTATCATCTTGGACATGACCAAAAGCTCAAAAAATGAGATGTTCTAGTAATTCTATGCAGAACCAACTTGGTTTATACAAGTCTCACAAACTCTCTCTCTTGCAAGACTTTTTTTCTAACAAAATTAAGTAGTACATGATAATTTAACGATTTTCTTGAATGGGCATTAAATCCAGACACTTGTGCGTTTGCGTGATCTTGCCTGACATCCATGGTGCCATTGTTAAAGCGGAATTTTTCAACTGCGCCCAGTTTTGTGGATATATTTTCCCTCCTGCTGTCCAGGAATGTTCCTGTACAGGGACTCTCTGTTTTACCTGATGGGTCTAACCTACAAGCAGTCGGCCTGTGAAGCCCCCGCGGCAGTGAATGATCAGCTCATCAACACTGGATTCCCCCGGAGCACAATCTGTTTGTCTTGACTGCTTGCAGCCAGTGTGTCTGATGTATGTGATGTGTTGCTGGTTAACGATCCATGATGTTATTGTCGGCGCTACACTACCTGTTGAATTTAGTTTCACTACTTTGGGACTGTATGTGGTCATG